AACGGGATCGAGACAGGGAAAGAGAAAGAAGGAAGGTGTGCTTCTGCATCCGCAGCTCCTTTCGAGCGGGCTCCGGAGGGGCAGGGGGCATTACCCGAAAGGGTCCTTGCCGACCAAGCCACAACGCGGCAGCGCGCCTCGGCCCACCCTGGACGTCCGCCCTTCCCCACGACGGCGACGACCCCTGCCGCCCCGACGGCCCCAGCGACTGCCAGACGAACACCCCCTTCGACGCACACCCTCTCCGACGAAATCAACAACCGCCACCCACTCCAACGCTCTGTCCGCCTGCGCCGCCTGGTCGGTCTCGCCATCGTAGCGTCCATAGCTTCATCGCGGGTGACTCCTCTCTCCCAGCCCCTCTTCCGGCCTATCTGCTCGCGGTTGCTCCCTTGCCCCTCCTCGTCTCCCGTTCCTTCTCATCCTCCTCCTCCTGCTCCTCCTCTGTCCCTCCTCCTCCTCCGCCTCCTCCGCCTCCTCCTCCTCCTCCTCCTCCTCCTCCTCCTCCTCTTCCTCCTCCTTCTCCTCTGCTCCTCGTTTGCTGTCTCCCCTCGGTCCCTTCCCGCCTGCCCGCCCGCCTGCTTCGTCCCACCGGCCCCCGCCTCCCACTTGCGCGTTCGCCTGCGTCTGCTTGCTTCTCATCTCCTTTCTCCCTGGCCGCCGCCGCGCGCCACAGACTGCCAGGAGCGGGCGTTGCTGTGTGCCCCCGGTGCCGTCTTGGCCGCGCGCAGACGACGGTGACCTTGGCAGGGGATCCCGGCGGCACAAGCAGGGAGTCGTGCTTCCTAGACGCGCGTCGTCATGCATGAACCTGGTCGAATTTCCCATTGCCCTTCACTTGTTTCCTGGTGGACTGGAGTGGGGGAATCAGATTTATTTGGGTACGCTCGGATTGGATTTGATAGATGTTCTGGAACACATCGGGGGCGAGCGGAGGTGAGGAGCGTGCGGTGGGAGGAGGAGGAGGAGGAGGAGGAGGAGGAGGAGGAGGAGAAGGAGGTCCCTGACCCGTCTGTGCCCGAGGCCCATTTCGCCTATTTTTCTACGCGCGGCTCGTGGGGCCCGACCCCACGCAGAACGCCCCACCCCCCGCATGGCGGCCGACCCGTCCGGGCTGGGGGCAGATTCGGCTGCACGTAAGAGTGACCCTTCTGCAGAGTGGCCTTTGGTGTGCGGCTTTCGGGGGGGCGCTAATGGGGCCGAGCCCGAGCACGTGAGGGGTCACTGTTGCACCGTAGGCAGCGGCCAGCAAGCCGCGCAGCAAAGGTCACCCCTGCCTGGCGGCACTCTTACGTGTGCCGACGGACGACTCGGACGATCAGGAATGCCTCGAGCGAGTGTGGCCGCTGGCTGCGGCGGTCCTGGGCGCCGCGCTCTGCGCCCTGCTCCTCGGGCCCGCGGCCTTCGCGGCCAGCTCCGCGCTGCCCGCCTCCGCGGCGCGCAGGCAGGGCGCCGCGCCGGCGGCCGCAGGCGCGCCGGGCGAGGGCGACTCGTCAGCATTCGAAGAGCAAAAGCAGCATGGCCAAAATTTCACGGAGTTCTGCACGGATTTCTCGGGTCGTTGCTTGGGCCCCCTGGCGGCGCATTTGGCGCCGCCCCCGATGGGCGCCGCGCGCCAGGGAGGGGGGTCCAGCGCCGTTTCAAGAAACCCGCACGGACCTCCGAAACATGATCGATACGTCGTATTCTGTGACCGAGCGTGGCAGGGCTGGGTCCTGGTGGTGTCTCGCCGCCCTGCGGGATCCCCAGAGCACTCCCCCAGCCCCAGGGCGGTGAAAAAAGCGGCACGGGATGGGAAGTTGGTCCGGGTGAGAGAGAGTCCTGGGGAATGTCAGGACCCATTTCCGCCAGAGGGCCCCCTTCTCTCCACGCCAAGGAGCCAACTCGCCGCCGCCGGGCGCCGAGCGGGCGCACGCCGAGACTGCCGACGCCATGTCGGCCCTGGCTAGGATCAAGACGCTCGAGGATGCTCTGGCCAAGATCCCCGAGGGCGAGGAGGTCATCAGGAGGGCCATCCTCGAGCGCATCGCATCGCAGAAGGAGCTCCTGGCAGCCGGCATGGCCGTCGGAGCTCGCCCCGGTCAGGCCCAGGCCTCTCTCGCCGAGGGGCAGGGGGAGGCAGCGGGACTGCAGAGGATGCGGGACGCGTTCCGAGAATTCGACGTTGCCTGCTGCGACGGATACCCAGCCCTGAGGCCCTCGGCGGTCAGGCTGCTCATCGTGGTCCTAGACGTGGCGCGCGAGGAAGAGTATCGCACGCTGCACAGGAAGACATGGATGGCCCGCGAGGGCATTTGCGGCGTCAACGACTCCGACGGCGGCCGGCCGCAGCCCCCGCCTGGATGCGGCGCCTTCGCCGCCTTCGCGGTCGGAGTGGATAACCGCACGGACGATCGTGTGCGCCAGGAGGGCATGCATTACGGGGACATGCTCGTGCTGGACACACTGGACACATTCCAGGGCACGCAGGTCGTTTCCAAGCCTTGGCTGCAGGCCAGGGTGATGGCGAAGGCCTGGCTGGCCCTCAGGCATGCGGCGGAGCACTTCTCCTGGGCGACGCACTTCGCAAAGAGCGACATCGACACGTTCCCTTTCGTGCGTACGATCGTGGCGGACCTGCTCGCTCCAGATAGGCTGGGACGGCAGTACAAGACGTCCAAGCCTGCAAACTGGAGTGAGGCGAACGGCGGCTTGTACTACGGGAGCGTCTCTGGTACCCACCACGGGGCCAACGCCTTTTCCCAGACCGCGTTCCAGCAGGGGCAGTTCTACGCGCTGTCCAGCGGCCTGCTCCAGTGCCTGCTGACGCTCCCCCCGTCCCCCCACGCCCCCTATCCCGTGCCGGGCTGTACAAGGGTGCGCGGCGAGGACTCGATGATCGGCTGCTTCGTGCGGATCTCGACGCGCTCCACTGCCGCGCAAGCTGCGGCTCACAAGCCAGACCGGCCACAACTGGGAGAGCTGTGTTCCTGCACCCTCCTGGGGGACCCATCGTCGGACGGGGCTAGGACGAGGATAATCTGTTCCAGAGCGTTCTGGAGCGTTCAGTGAGTTCCAGAACGCTCTGAGAAGGCCGCGGCGCCCGAGACAGCCTCCAGAGCCGCCGGACCTCAGATATTCTCGATCTATCCTCATCCGAATTTACCCTCGCCCTGGCTTCGTCTTGCTTCGGCTTCGACATTCCTCTCGAGAGACCGTCGACTCGACGGGCTCCTTCAGAAGGGGTGAGGAGCACATCTGCCCCGGTTGCGGCTTGTCGGCGAGCTGCCGCGGTGCCCAGAGGCGTTCTGGGTCGACGTGCCGTTCCGGCAGCGGAGGTGGCGGACATGCAAAGCGGTGGCGGAGGCGCGCATGGAAGCCACTTGTCGGAGCGCGACGCGGGAGATACCCGCCGCGGTCGGTTGGCCGAGCAGCAGCGCTGGGCGGCTGGAGAAGACCGAAGCTTACGATGGCGGTGGCTGATAAACATCGATACGACCGATGCGTGTGTGCGTGAAACGAAGTATTACGCCGGCTGGAGGTGGTATTTGGATCGAGCCACCGAACGGAGTTGCATCAGCCATCCATTCGAACTTCACTCACGCCACCCTCCAGTGTCTGCCACAGCAGTTCTCAGTTCCAGCAACCACGAGTTCCAAGTTCTTTCCCCCTCCCACGTAGTCCCTCTCTTCTCCCCTCGTCCCCTCCTCCGCCATTTCCTTTTCTGCTGTTGGTGCTGTCACGCTCGGTGTGCCACCATGGTGTAGCTCTCTCAATCCCACTTTATGATGGGCCCCTTTGTTCCAAACACTTGCAACGCACAACCGCATGACGCTCGCTGCTACACAAGTTCGAAGGTCTTAGGCCTGTGCCGCCAATCTGGGGCGTTCTTTGTATCAAATGGCCTTCGGCCCATCCCGCCACGTGCCCGGGTTGTGGGTATGAAGCTGATTGGATGCTCGCTGGGATCTCGTGGGAGGCCTCTCGGGGACCTCTTGGAGGCAGTTTTGAGGCTTCTCGGTGGCCGTTTCAGGCCTCTTGGGCCTCTTAGGGGCCTCTTGGGGACCCCTTGGGACGCAAGGCTCGGACTTTCGGTTCATGTTCCCTCTCGTGGGCCTGCCTCTTTTGGGGGCCGCCTTGGGGCCCTCTTGGGCCGTCTTGGGCGCCTTTTGGGCCGTCGTGTGGCGCTCTTAGGCAGTCCTTGGGGCCCTCCTGGGGTCTTGGGGCGGTCGGGGCCTTGGGCCGTCTCGGGAACTCCAAAGATTCGAGGACCCCACTCTGCCCTCTCGGGGCCCTCTTGGGAAGGCTCTTGGGGCTCTCTTGGGGTGTCTCGAAGGCCTCTTGGGCCGTCTTGGGTGCACTTGGGTGTCTTGGTGCGATCTTTGGGCGTCTCGGGGCCCGCTTGGCCCTAATTTTGGTAGTTTGGGGGCCGTCCTGGGGTAATTTCGAACACGCGTTGGGGGCTATTGGGTTCCTCTTGGCCCTTCTGGAGCTATTCTCGTGTCTTGTCGTGGCTTTCGTAGACCACCTGTCAACCCTCCTCCTTCCTCTTTCCTCATCGCTCCTCGCCGCATGCCTAATTCTACTTCCGCGCCAGGGCAGTAAGATGCATGAGAGATTCGCCAGCGCAGCGTGGCAAGCCGTAGAAAACTCACCTTATGGTTCGAGTGTGAGGCTTCGAGTTTCGAGAGCATTTCGCGCAGGCCTGCGTAAGATGTGCGGGGGGGAGGGGGGCGATGTTCACTCGAAGAAGCAGGTCGCGAAAGGTAGAGTCCACTCATAATTGGAGATACCCATGGCCGCGATGGGCGGGCCCTGTGTTTGCAAGAGCCCCGAGCACTCCATCACTCCATCTCCGCTTTTGCGGGCATGATAGTCAGACAACGTTCGGATGCGCCTTGTGAGCAAGTGACTCCCACAGCTGTTTTGGCTCAAGCCCGCGCGGGGCTCGATGCCGAGGGGGGCACGCTCACCAGGGTATCGCCGCAGGCTGAGATGTGCGGATTCGCTCGGCGATCGGGATGCCTTCGCAGCTCGGCTACTGCAGCGGCGGCCCGCTGCCGCCACCGGGAGCAGGAACTCCGCGCACTCTTGCGGAGGCTCTGCTCCGCACCGCCAGTCAGAGGCCTGACGGTGGCCTGACCGTGTACGAGCGAGCCTCCAGCGCGGGGAGCGGCGGCGGCGCGCTGTTCCTGAGCTACGCAGCCCTGCTGAGCGCCGCGAGGCGAGTCGCCGCTGGGCTGCTGCACGAGGCGGTGCCTCGTGGAGCGCCCGTCGTGCTCCTGCTGCGGACGCGCGCGGCCCAGCTGGTCGCTCTGTGGGGCTGCGTGCTGGCGGGCGTGCGGCCGTGCCTGCTGGCGACCGCCGCAGGGGCCGCCGACCAGGCCCTCCCCGCGTTCCTGGGGCGGCAGGCGGAGCGCCTGGCTGTGGTGGTTCTGACGCTGCATGGCGAGAGAGCGCTCCCGATGCCCCAGGTGCGTCAGCTGCGCGTCGACACCTGGTTGAACGACGAGCTCGATCTGCAGCAAGCACTGCCACGCTCGGTGCTCGAACGTGGCGAGACTGTAGCCACGGTGGTGGCCGGCGACGGCCCCGAGTGCGAGTACCACTTCACGGGCGCCGCGATTATGGCTAACATGCGCAGCGAATGTGCGGCCTTCTCCTGCGACGGGGCCGACGCCAGCGAGCCACCAGTCCGGTTGAGCTGGCTGCCTCTTGCGGAGCCGGTCGCCCTCTTGGCGCACTGCGCCGCCGTCGCCCTTGGCATGGACGAGGTGCATGCGGAGACAGGCGGCGACCCCCGCGCCACGCTGCGCCTGGCGAGGAGGCACCGCGTCTCTCTCCTGGCGGCGCCAGCAGTCTTCTTCCGCCGGGCCTCCGAGGAGCTGCGGAGAGCCTCCAGCGATGCGGCCAGGCGCGGGGCGGCCGCGGGGGCGTGCGACCTGGAGTGCGTGCGCGTGTGGGTGGTGCATGGAGCACTGGGAGACGACGACGCGGCCGACTTCCTGCGACTGGCGCGGCCCAGCACAGGCATGCCACCGGGCCTCGCTGCGCCGGCGGTGCGCAGGGCTCTGGTGGCGCCCTGGGGCTGCCTGCTGGCCGTGGGCGACCCGCTGGCTGGAGCGGAGCTGCGCTGGACGCCGGCGCCTGGCCTGGAGCTCCGCGCGCTGGCGCGGGAAGCTGCGACCAGCTGCGCGCCGAGCTCCGGTGGCTCGCCGCCGCGCCTGCAGGTCCGGGGGTCTGCGGCCGCGCCTGGCGTGGCGTGGGGCGCCCGTGCAGGGCGTTGGGCCGTGGCGCTCGGCGGGTGGGTGGACGCCCGCTGCGCGGGCACCGTGGTCAGCGGACGGCTGTCGAGTGCGTCGCTGGACCAGTGTCTCGCTGGAGCAGGGGAGAGTGTCCAGGTCTCTGGCAGCGTGGAGTTTGCCCCAGCGGAGATCGAGTCCGCGATAGAGGCCGCGCCTGGCGTGCTGCGGGGCTCCGCCGTGGCCGTGGCCGCGCGGCTGCCAGCAGGCGGCGGCCTTGATGGCAGAGAGACTCACCGGCAGCGTGGCCTTGCCATCGCGTTCTCAGCCGTGGAGCAGGCGCCTTCCAGCAAGCCGGTGGTCACCGAGGCAGTTCTCAACCAGCTTGCCCTGTCCCTCGGTATCCGTCCGCAGCTGGCCGTCCTGTTTCCCCGCGCTGACGTGCCGCGCGACTGCGCCGGGCAGCCAGACCGCGCCAGAGTGAGGGCGGCGATCGAGGCGGGCGCCTTCGGGGAGGCAGCGCTGGACTCGCGGCGGTCAGCAGCGGAGGCGCTGCCTGGCGACTGGGTCTGGGAGGAGGAGTTCCGCCCTGGCGAGGTGCCCCTTCCACCGGGGGCCGGGGCCGGCGGGGGAGAAGACGACGACCTGGGCGGCGACGACATCGAGGAGCGCATGGAGGGAGCGGCGTCCGAGGATGGCAGTGACGCTGCCGGAGCGGTGGAGCGAGAGGCGGCCAGGACGCTGGTCGTGTGCGACCCGGCGTCGCAGGTCGGAGACCAGATAGTCTCGAGACTGCAAGAGGACGGAGGATGCGTGGCGAAGGTGCGTGCTTCACGAGGCTCAGGAGAAGCAGAGGATTGGGCCGCGCTGCTAGCGGGGGGCGTGACGAGCGTCGTGCACAGCACGCAGTATTCCTCCGAGTCGGAAGCCTCGGAGGGATCCGAGGCCGCCGTGGAGCTGCTGGCACTGCTGCAGGCCTGGCGGCGCGAACGCCACGGCGCCCCAAGCGAGCCTCTCAGGCTGCTGTGCCTGTCCTCTGGCCGCCACGTGCGGGTCGCGGGCGCACGGGTGGACCCGCGCAAGAGCATCCTGCTGGGCGTGCTGCTGTGCGCGGCGACGGAGTGGCAGCAGCTGCGAGCGGTGCAGCTGGACGTGGCGCCGGAGCTGCCAGAGGCGAAGGCGGCGCACGCCGCAGTGGCAGAGCTCCGGGGGGCCGCGGGAGGCCCAGCCAGCGAGGTCCTCGTGGACGCAGAGGGGCAGCGCTTGGAGCGCCGGCTGCGGCAGGCTCCGCTGCTGCCAGCCCCTGCCCAGCACGGACGGCCGCGGGCCGCGCTGCTCGTGGGAGGCGCTGGCGGCGTCGGCCTGCTCTGGGCTAAGTCCATCAATGCAGATCGGCGGTTCAAAGGTGTGCCCGGAGGGATGGGGGCCTCAGGATGGGCCGGCATCCAAGGGCGGCTGCCCATTTCTTGAAGCACCTCGTCCTTAGGGCCCCGATCCTCAGGACCTCATCCTTGAGCCACCGAGCAGAGACGCTGGTATTGCTCGGCCGCTCCCCGCTCTCCACGCGCCGCGCGGAGCGGGCTCTGGCCGCCCTCTCTGGCAGCGGGGCGGACGTGCTCTACCTGCAGGCGGACCTGGGCGACCCGCGGCAGCTGAAGAGCGCATTCCAGGGGTGCATCGCTGCTGGGAGGATCGACTACGCGGCCAGCTTTGCCGAAGCGTTCCAGGCCCCCGCGAGCCTGTTCGGCTTGCCGCTGGGTGCCCTGCAGGCGCCGGCCCACAAGCTGCGCGGCGCGCGCAACTTGCTGGAGCTGCTGGCACGCTCGCGGGCGCCAGCCACGCGGCAGGTGGCCGCCACACCGGTGCTGCTCGCGTCGACGGTGGTCGGGCTCCTGGGCGCCCCCCAGCTCGCACCCTATGCGGCCGGCGCGCGGGCGCTGGAGGCACTCTGCGCGAAGGAGCGCCTGGGGAGCGGCCCACTGGACCCCAGGTTCGGTATCGTGTAACCGATCCCTGCCTCCATCCCCCACTCGACCCCCACCATCCCACCACCCCAGTTGGGGATCTGCCCATCGAAACCCGAAGGGAGCAGCACATGTCCGCATCCGGGGGGGGTAAATCGGCCAGTGGGACCCCAGGCCACGCCAGTGGGGATTCAAGGGCTCCCACGAGGGCGCGAAGTTATTCGCGCTTCGCGCTTTGCGGTCCTCGTTCCTTCTCCCCCTCCTCCTCGTCCTCCTTTCCTCCCTTTGGGGGGGGCTGCGCGAGAGCGCGAAGTTATTCGCGCTTCGCGCTTCGCGGAGCGCGAAGCGCGAAGTTGGGAGCCCTAGGGATTGGGATCGGTGAAACGATGCTCGCAGGTGTGTGGCTCTGTCGGCGTGGGCGGACGTGGGCATCACGACCGCGTTCCCGGCATTGGCCGACTCCGCGCCAGCAGCGGGCTTCCACGTGTTGTCGCATTGCTCGGGGCTGCTGGCCTTGGAGGCGGCCTTCGCCAAGTTTTCACCCCCTCGGTTCGGCACGCTTTTTGTGGGCGTAAACGGACAACACCCGCGCTGGGTCCAACTGATCGCAAGCGGCGAGACCAGCGCCACCATGGCCACCACGGAGACGTTGCCCGGCTGCATCGAGCTGGTCTTAGGCACAATCAAAACGGTATTGGGCAAGGACGTCAAGCTCGGAAGCAGCTTTGGCGAGGTCGGGGTTGATTCCATGTCGTCCATGTCACTGCGCTCGGCGCTCGTGTCGGCGACGGGGGGGCTGGAGCTGCCCTCGACAGTGTTCTACGACCTCCCCTCGGTGCTCGAGCTCGCAAAGTTCATCCACGGTGAGGCCGCCCCAGGCGCCGGAGGCAAGGCAGGCGGAGGCTCTGCGCCCGTCGACGCGGGCGCGCAGGGGCCAGCGGCGGCCTACCACCCCGACGCGGCGCTGGAGGCGCTGCTGGAGGACGCAGAGGCGCGCAGGTCCTACCACCTGGGCCTGGCGAGGGAAGCGCTTCGCTGCGGCGACGCTGCTGCCGCGCACGAGCGCTGCCTGTGCGCCATGGACGGTGCCTCAGGCTCCATGACCCCCAGGTGGGGTCCGAGCAGGTGGGGTCGAAGGATCGCGCCGCACCGCCGTCGGCGACGTCGGCGTGGAGAAGGTCGGGCTCCACATCGAGCCGCATCGCCGATGCATCGGCGATGCGGCGCGACCCTCCGACCCCATCTGTTCGGACCCTTCCTGGGAGGCCTCCACAGGCCCTGCGCTCGTGTCAGCTCTCGCGCTGGACGCGGTGGCGCTCGAGCGGACGGGCGCCGCCAGCGCGGCGGGGGAAGCCCTTGCGCGGAGCTTGGAGGCGCAGCAGGCTGCCGCGGGCCCGCTCCACGTCGACACAGCGGCCGCGGTGGTGCAGCTGTGCCTGTGGTGCGACCGCCATGGCCAGTCGGACTCTAGGGCGCGAGAGCTGCGGCGGCGGCTGGGGGAGGCGCGCCGCGCGTTCTTCCGCGGCATCTGCTGGCCAGCCACGGCCTGGTGGACACCCGCAGAGCCGGAAGCCTCGTTCGCTCAGGTGCTCTCGAGCACGTCTTTGCGGCGTCTGAGTTTCGATGGGCAGGGGCTCGCTGATCAGGATCTTGGGGCGCTGGGCGTCGCCTCATCGCTCGAGGTGCTACGTCTCAGGCGCAATGGCCTGCGCCAGTTGCCGGCCGTGTTGGGGCGTCTGGTGCAGTTGCGCGAGCTGTGGCTCACGTCGAATTTGCTACATGACTTGCCTGCTGAGTTGACCGCTTGCTCCCGCTTGCAGGTCTTGGCGCTCGAGGCGAATTGTTTCGCCCGGCTGCCCACCGTCGTCAGCAGCTTTCGCCGGCTGCTCCAGCTCGGCTTCGACGAGCAGCGCTGCGAGGTGGGCGGCGTGGGCCAGTGCCGTCTGCAGGCCCAGGTTCTGTCGGTACTGCGCGCTAGAGGATGCGCTGCTGAATTTCCAGATCTATACTTGCCAGGCGGAGGGGGCCCGAACCTCAACACCGTCTTCTGGGCCAACAACGCGCTGGCAGCTGTGCCGGCGGTGCTCGGGCACTTTGCCTCCTCGCTGAGGCTCTTGGACCTGGCGCACAATCGCATCGCCGCTCTTGGAGAGGAACTCTTCGGCTCGCTGAGCAGCCTGCGGGACCTCAGCCTCGCAGGCAACCGGCTGACGAGCTTGCCGGCCGCGGTGGGCACGATGCGCGCTCTGCAGCAGCTGTGGCTCCATGGCAACGCGCTGGAGGAGCTGCCAGAGGAGCTCGGATCCTTAGGCAGCCTGGCGATTCTGGAGCTGCACCACAACCGGCTCATCTCGCTACCAATCGCGGCAGTGTCGCGCCTCCACAAGCTCAACTGGCTGTTCGCCCACGGGAACCAGCTCACCGACGGGGCTGGACTGCTCGCGGCTCTGGGCCGGCTGCCGCGCCTGAAGATCTGCGGGCTGGGGGCGAACCGACTGGAGCTCGGAGGGCTGGACCTCGGGAGCTTCAGGTCGAGCTTCGGCCTCGGCTGGAACCCCGGGCTGGTTCCTGGCGGCGGCGTCCTCACAGAGGCCCTGACCACCTGCGACCTCTCCTGGGACAGGCTCGACGAGTGCGCGCTGCAGGACGTGCTCGTCGTCACGTTCTCGGCGCAGGGCGCTCCGATCGCCCAGGGCCAGGCAGAGGTGCGTGCCCTGCGTGACGCGCTGCTGCCCGTGGACGCGCTGTACGTCTGCGACCCCGCCAACGCGTGGTACCTGCAGGACCCAGGCTTTGATCCAGCTGCCTGCGGCAGGTCCCGCCACCGTGGCAGCCCATCATCCTGGGTGGCGCCTCTTCGAGGGGGGCAGAAAAAGCCATGACGTCTGACACCTGACGTCCCCCAAGGTTTTGGAGAGCCGAAGCATGTGACACAGTTTTCCGCATCGTGTCCGCCGTTCTCTTCTAGTCTTTTTTGTCTTCCGCCCTTTCTTCCGTTCTTTCTTGGCGGTCTTTGGGGTCCCTTGTCCCATTTTGGGCCGTCTCGGAGCCCTGTTGGACCGTCTCGGGGCCCTCTTGGACCGTCTTGGGGCTCTCTCAGGCCGTCTTAGGGCCTCTTGGCCGTCTGTGGTGTCTCTTGCGGTCGTCGTGGGGCGGTCCTTGGGCCATCTTGGACCGTGGAAGGGGCTCTTTAAGGCCGACTTGGGTCCCTCAGGATGCCCTCCTCGGCCGTCCTGGGCTGCCTAGGGGCCCTCTTCGGTTGTCTTGAGGCCGCATTGGAGGAATGTTGGGCCATTCGGGGGCCCTCTTGGGCCGTCTTAGGAACATCTTGGAGAGCTCTAGGGCAGTCTGCAGCTGAAGGAAGCGAGGAAAGGGGAAGACACTCCAACCTTTCAGAAACTTCAAGGGGAAATCAATGATGTTGGTTTCTTCGGGCCCTACTGGGGGTCATCTTGTGGCCCCCTTGGGCCGTCTTGGAACCATCTGGGGCCTTCTTGAAGGCATCCTAGGCCATCTTGGCAGCCTTGGTTGCTTGCAAAGGCCATCTTGGAAGCTCGGGACCGGCAGATCGATAGTTGTTAACGGGGGATCGTGGCCTCGGGAGCGCGGATCAATTATTGTTACAAGGGATCGCAGCCTCTGGAGTGCGGATAATTCCCCAATCAGCACTTGCACAGAAGGGGTCCTAGCGGAAGTTGAAAGATTTGGCGAAAGTTTCCCGCCGATTTTGGTAGCAGGCTGGGTTTCCGGGTTCCCTGTTCCCGGGTTCCCTGTTATTGGTTCTAGGCCGATTTCGGTGGGTTCTGGGTTCCTGGGCTCCTGGGTTCCTGGTCGATCTCCTCAGCGAAAGTCATCCACTGATTGGGGTCTTCTCTGGTGTAATTTGTTTACGGTGGATCGTGGTCTCGGGATCGCAGATCCGGTGCTTTTGCAAGGGATCATGGCCTCGGGAGCGCGGATCCGTTCAAAAGCCTGAGAAAGGAGGCGGGCGGTTCATGCCATTGAGCACTGCGAGAGGAGGGGGGCCCTACCAGACAGCCCTTCGGCATTCTACGACGCCTCAACGTGCCCGAGGGCACGGTGGCGGACTGGAGAGGTCTTTCTTATTTCGACAGCAACATCCAGCAGATCACGCAGCAGTGCTTCCCTCCTCCTCCTCCTCCTCCTCCTCCTCCTCCTCTGCAGAGGGCTCAGAAGCCTCCGTAACGAAAGTTTCACCGTCCAGTTTGGCGGTTCGGCCCCCCCCTTTGGATGTAAATCATCAGTGCGAGAGGCTTGGGGCCCTCCTCCTCCTCCTCCTCCCTCCTCCTCCTCCTCCCTCCTCTTCCTCCCTCCTCCCTCCTCCTCTTCCTCCTGTCTCTTCCCCCCCTCCTCCTCCCTCCTCCTTCTTCCTCCCTCCTCCTCTTCCTCCCTCTTCTCCAGCAACGTTGATGGGTCTTGGGTTTACACTGGTCCTTCTCCTCCTCTTCCTCCTCCTCCTCCTCCCACCTCCTCTTCCTGCCTCCTCCATTTCTTTTCCTTGTACATAGCTCCTCCATCTCGCGCCCCGAGGCCGGTCCAAAGGTCGGGCAGGGCGTTTCGCTTGAGGCGTCCTTAAACATTGGCAAGAGTTTCACGGCTCTCGCTTTAGCGCCGCGCACATTCGTTTGAACAACGTGCACAAGCTTTGTAGATTGAGGGCGGGTCGTTTTCAAAATGTGGTTCTCGCCGTAGCGCCGCGCGCATTCGTTGTTAAAATTGCAAGAGCTTCATGGATCGAGGACATATTTTACTTGCAAGAGTTCCACGGATTGAGGACAGGTAGTTTTCAACATGTGGTTCTCGCCTGAGCGCCGCGTGCATTCGTTGTTGAACTTTTGCAAGAGCCTCGCGGATTGAGAGCTTATCTTTTTCAACATGTGGCTCTCGTCCTGGCGCCGCGCACTTTCGGTTAAAAAACGATGCAAAATTTTCACGGATTGCACGTAGTTCTCGTTTCAGCGCCGTGCGCATTCGTTGTACACATTTGCGAGAGCTTCACGGATTGAGGGTGGGTCGCTTTGAAAATGCGTCTTTCGCTTTAGCGCCGAGCACACTCGTCTTAAACATTTGGAATAGCTTCACGGAGACCCATGGTTCACGTGCCGGAAGCTGTGCTTTGGAAGGGCTCGGGAGTGTGAGGGCGCAACAGTTACGTTGATTCACGGTGTTGGATTCCCAGCAATGGCGTTTGGGTACGATTCCGGATCGTCAAGATGCAGCAGTCAAGTTGATTCGTGGCGTTGGAATCCCGAGAATTGTGTTTGTCCACGCTGCAGGGTCTTCAAGCGGATGACTCCCAACGGGGCACTTCCCTCAGTGGATATGAGCCCTTGTAAGGGGCCTGTGAGGAAGGAGCTTGGAGGGAAGGTTGATTCCAACATCGTTGATGGGTTTTGGGTTTGCACTGGTCCTTCTCCTCCTCCTCCTCCTCCTTCTCCTCATCATCATCCTCGTCCTCTCTCCTCCATTTCTTTTCCTTATAGATAACTCGTCCCTGTCGCGCCCCGACGCCACTCGAAAGAGCGGGCCGGGCGTTTCGCTTGAGACCCCCCCGCCATTTATGACCCTGGAGCTCAAACATTGGCAACAGCTTCACATATGGAGGGCGGGCCGCTTCCAAAATGTGTCTCTCGCCTTGGCGCCGCGCTCATTCTTCTGAAGAGTTCGCAAGAGCTTCATAGATTGAGGGCGAGCCGTTTTCAAAGTGTGGCTCTCACCTTGGCGCCGCGCGCCTTCGAAAAGTGTAAGAGCTCTACGGATTGAGGGCGGGCCGTTTTCAAAATGTGGCTCTCGCCTTAGCGCCGCGCGCATCCGTGCTTTTTTAATTGGAAGAGTCTCACGGATGGAGGGCAGGCCGCTTCCAACACGTGTCTCTCGCCTTAGCACCGACAACATTCGTCTTAGACAGTTGGAATAGTTTGATGGATCCCCATGGTGAACGTACCAGAAGTGGTGTTCTGGAGCGATTCAGGACTGTCAGGGCGCAACAGTTTCGTTGATTCGCAGTGTTGAAGTCCCAGGAATTGTGTTTTGGCACGATTCGGGATCGTCCAGACGGCAGACGTTGATTCTTGGCGCTGGCGTCCCGAGAATGGTGTTTTGGCACGAGTCAGAGCTTTCAAACGGTATCTAGCGGTTGTCTCCCTACGGGGCACTTCCCTCAGTGGGAATGCATACATGTAGTTGCAGGGGCTTGTGAAGAGGGAGCTTGGAGGGAGGGCTTATTCCAGCATCGTTGAGGGGTCTTGGGTTTACATTGGTCCTCTTCTTCCTCCTCCTCCTCCTCCTCCTCCTCATCCTCCTCATCCTCCTCCCCCTCCCCCTCCCCTCCCCCTTCCGCCTCCCCCCTCCTCTTTCCTCCTCCTCTCCTCCTCCTCCTCTCCTCCTCCTCCTCCTCCTCCTCCTCCTCCTCCTCCTCCTCCTCCTCCTCCTCCTCCTCCTCCTCCTCCCCCTGGTAGGTACCGGTGTGTGTTTATGTGGGGCGGCTCGATGGGAGGGTCGGCGGCGCTGCTGTTTTCCCACCTGGCGAGCTGCGTGCACGCTTTCAGCCCTCAGGCCTGGGGAGGGGCAGGGGGCGTAGGACAAGCAACAAACACACTGTGGAAAAACACACACACACACTGTGGGAAAAAAACACAAAACACACACAACACACACACACACACACACACACACACTGTGGGAACAAAAAACACACACCGTGGGGGAAAAAACACAAAAACACACACCGTGGGGGAAAACAAAAAACATACAAAACACACGCATACACACAAACAACATACTGTGTTTTTTTCACACAGAGTGTTTTTTTCCCACAGCTAGGTGCGCTCGCGTCGTATCAGACGTCCTACAGTCGGTGGACAATATCGCAAGTTATCTGAGCATTATGATAAACAGCGTGCCAACTAGGATCAGATTCCATCGATCTCTGAGGACCCCCCCATCCCCACATTTCAATGTTGACTTGCATTATTTTGTCCACCCGGACTTTGGGTGCTCGCTTGGTGCCAACATTGAGATGTAGGGGGCGGGGATTGTTTGTCGAGGTGGCGCCGCAATGTAGGTGCAGCCGCACGCGGTCAGGAGCAACTTACAAAATTTCGTCGTCCCACCGTACCCCTCCCTCCCATCCCTTACCGTGGCGTAGATCTCCTATCTGGTCGCACAGTCGGATGTCGTAGCATGGCATAGCATTACATGGCATAGCATGGTGTCGAACATCAACGCGTAGCATGACATAGCATGGCGTGGCGACGCCCCAACGTGGGCGGGGGGGGGGGGGGGCTTCTGCGGCCCCAAAAATCAACGAATCGACACCGAATGTGTAATCACTTCCGATGGTTTCTTCAGGTGGCATTTTTTCAATTTTTGGGCCGACTTGGAAGGACCGAAAACCATGCCGGAGCATGGCGCTGGAAATAATGACGCCAGCACTTCAGCGGGAGCACAAGTCGCAACGAGCGGAAGCGCGGAAATGAGGCCAGCGCTGCAGCGGGAGCACGATTCGGAACGAGCGGCAGCCTGGAAATGAGGCCAGCGCCTTCAGCGAGAGCAGCATTTTGACAAAAAAATCCACGCGTAAAGCGAGGAAATGAGGACGCGTAGCCTGACATAGCATGGCGTGGCGACATCCCCCAGAAATCAGCGAATAGACGCCGAACATGTAATCGCTTCTGATGGTTTCTTCGGGGGGGCATTTTCTAGGTTTGGGGTTTCTTTGGAAGGACCGAAGACCATGCCGCGTCATGCCGCTGGAAATAATGACGCCAGCACTGTAGCGGGAGCAGGATTCGGAACGAGCGGAAGCGCGGAAATGAGGCCAGCGCTGCAGCGGGAGCACGATTCGGAACGAGCGGTAGCCCGGAAATGAGGCCAGCGCTACAGCGAGAGCAGCATTTTGAAAACAAGCCCAAGCGAAAGCCCAACTCTCGGGAACCCTGTGTGTAAGAATTCAGTGCGCGGAGGGGGGCCGGACATTCCCCAGACGCCACCATGGGAGAGAGGAGAGTAGTTCCCCAATCAGAGCCTGCCTCTGTAGGGGTCCTAGCAGATTCATATGGCGAGGTTAGGTTTGCCGCCGATTTTCGCCGCACGCCCGGGTGCCTGGGTGCCCGGGGGTGCCCAGGGGTGAGGTTGGCCGCCGATTTTCTCTGCACGCCCGGGTGCCCAGGAGGTGCCCGGGGGTGCCCGGGTGCCCGGGTGCCTGGGTGCCCGAGTGCCCTGGCGTGTGGTGGTGCCCGGGAGTGCCAGGGGGTGCCCTATAGCCCAATAGACTTATAGCCCTCCATTTCTAGCCCTGAAGCTCTGTAGCCCTATAGCTCAATAGCCCTATAGCTCTGATTGATTGGGGTTTTGTCCCCGGTATCACATTCATATTGTGAAATTGTGGAGGAGAAGGAAGAGGAGGAGGAGGAGGAGGAGGAGGAGGAGGAGGAGGAGGAGGAGGAGGAGGAGGAGGAGGAGGGAGGAGGAGGAGGAGAAGAGGAGGAGGCGGAGGGAGGGGGAAGGGGGAGGAGGAGGGGGAGGGGGGGGGAGGGGGGGGGGGAGGAGGAGGAGGAGGAGGAGAGAGGAGGAGGAGGAGGAGGAGGAGGAGGAGGAGGAGGAGAGGAAGAGGAGGAGGAGGAGGAGGAGGAGGAGGAGGACCAGTGTAAACCCAAGAGTCATCAACGATGTTGGAATTAACCCTCCCTCCAAGCTCCCTCTTCATAAGCCCCTACAGCGGTTCATTTCCATTGAGGGAACTGCCTCGTTGGAAGACAACCGTTTCAGGACCTCGAAGCATGCTAAAACATTAGTCACGGGATCTCCACGCACGGATTAACCTGAGTGGTATGTCCTGACGATTTGGAATCGCACCAGAACGCCATTGTTTGATTCGACACTGCGAATCAAATAACTGTTGCACCCGCATAAGCCTGAATCCCTCTTAAACGCGATTTCTGGTACGTTGATCATGGGAATCCGTGAAACTCTTGCAAGTTTTGAAACGAATGCGCGCGGCGCTAAGGCGAGAGCCACAGTTTGAAAACCATCCGCCCTCAATCCGTGAAGCTTTTGCAGTTTGTTGTAACGAATGTGTACGGCGCCAAGGCGAGAGCCACATTTTGAAAACCACCCGCCGTCAATCCGTGAAGCCCTTGCAAATGTGCAAAACGAGTGTGGCGCTAAGGCGAGAGCGACATTTTGAAAACCACCCTCCCTCAATCCGTGAAACCATTGCAAATTTTGAAAACGAATGCGCGCGGCGCTAAGGCGAGAGCCACATTTTGAAAACGGCCCGCCCTCAATCCGTGAAGCCCTTGCAAATGTTTAAAACGAATGTGCGCGGCGCTAAGGCGAGAGCCTCATTTTGAAAACCATCTGCCCTCAATCCGTGAAGCTCTTGCACAGTGTTGTTAACGAATGTGCGCGGCGCTAAGGCGAGAGCCACATTTCGAAACGGACCCGCCATCAATCCGTGAAGCCCTTGCAAATCTTGAAAACGAATGTGCGCGGCGCTAAGGCTGCCCAAAAAATTGGCCTCGGGGTGCGACAGGAAGAACTTATTTACAAGGAAAATGAATTTGAGCAGGAGGTGAGGGGGAGGAGGAGCAGCAGCTGGAGGAGGAGGAGGAGGAGGAGGAGTAGGAGTAGCAGGAAGGGGAGGAGGAGGAGGAGGAGGAGGACGAGGAGGGGGGGAGGAGGAGGAGGAGGAGGAGGAGGAGGAGGAGGAGGAGGAGGAGGAGGAGGAAGAGGAGGAGGAGGAGGAGGAGGAGGAAGCGGATGTGGAGGATGAGCAGGAGGAGGAGGAGGAGAAGGACAAGGATGGGGTAGCGCAGGAGGAGGGGAAGAGGGGCCGTCAGGTTGACCTGATGTTCACCTGGCCTTCCTTTGGCACCGCCGGCGCACGCGAGGCGTTCCGGACAAGGATCCAGGACTCGGTGATGCGATGCCTCTCCCGCGGTACGGTGACGGTCCACGTCGGGGAGGAAAATCACAACGACAACCGGCATGCCGCCGCCCTGCCGCCCGGCGTGAGCATCCACCTTCACGACACGGCGAACCATAACACCATGAAGCACGTGAAGGCTGGCGGCGCGCAAAAACTGCCAGGGCAAAGGGGGCGGCCTTCCAAGAAGGCGCCCGGCCTCCTAGAATCCCCCCCGCCTTCAAGATCGAGCAGTGGCAAGCGTCCTGGCTTGCCTATAAGCCAACCAAGGAATGTTATATGAACCTTGTGTGGTTTGCACGAAATGTTCTTAGAACATTTCTGGCTGGGATCGTTTTGTTTTAACACATCGGCTTTACGTTCTAAGAACTTGGTTTTTCCCGGAAAAGGCTAGGGCCCAGGGTTCTCTTTTAATGTGTTTACCCCCGGTTCTGACGGCTGTAGGGCCGGCGAACTTATTTTGCGATAAACAATGAGGTCGCGTAGGGCCGGCGAAATTATGGTTGAGAATGTCTCGAGCGAAACGCTTGTGTTTCAGAATTTCTTGAAGATGGCTCGAGCGGAATGCTTGTTTTGTGTTATAGATTGTCCTCTCCTGGGGACCTGAATTCAGAGGATCTCTCAAGTGAAATGCTTGCTTTCACGTGCCCAGGTCTTGAGGATGTCTCGAGCGAGACGCTTGGTTTCACGCCTCCAGGTTGCCCAGACAGATGTCTAGCATGAGGATTTGTTGAGGATGTCTCGAACCAGAGGCTTGTTTTCACGTGTCCAGGTCGCCCAAGCATGAGGATGTGTCGAGGAAGTCTCGATCGAGACGCTTGTTTGCACGTGTCCAGGTTGCTCAGGCGGATGTCTAGCATAAGCATGTGCTGAGAACGTCTTGAGCGAAACGCGTGGTTTCACGTGTCCAGGTCGCCCAGGCACAGCACAGCCCTCGGCACAGTACATCAATATCGATACCCATCGCATTGCAGCCTGGCATGTTGCCTGGCACGTTCCGCGGAGCGTCCCGTGGCGAGTCCCCCTGGCACGTCGCGCGGTGCACGTCCATTGGCACGTTCCGTAGCGCGTCCCCTTGGCACGTCCCGCGGTGCGTGCCCATGGCACGTCCCCTGGCACGTCGCCTGGCGCGTCCCTTGGGACGTTCCGCGGCGCGTCCTCCTGGCATGTCCCCTTGTCGATTAGTTCTGGGGCAGCTACCATCTGCTCAGGCAGCTCGAGCTTAAGATCCAGATCAGTTCGGTCAGGACTCGGATGCAAAGAGGACTCGATCCACAACGCTATATAGAGCACAACCGCGGCATTGCACATCGCGGTTCAGCACGGCGCAGCACAGCACAGCCTTCGGCACGGTACATCAAGATTGATACATTCAGCATTGCACCTTGGCACGTTCCTTGGCGCGTTCCGTGGCGAGTCCACCTGGCACGTCGCGCGGCGCGTCCCCCGGCACGTCCCGCGGCACGTCCATTGGCACGTTCCGTAGCGCGTCCCTCTGGTACGTCCCGCGGTGCGTCCCCATGGCACGTCCCCTGGCACGTCGCCTGGTGCGTCCCTTGGGACGTTCCGCGGCGCGTCCTCCTGGCATGTCCCCTCTGTCGATTAGTTCTGGGGCAGCTACCATCTGCTCAGGCAGCTCGAGCTCAAGGTCCAGATCAGTTCGGTCAGGACTCGGATGCCAGGGAGGACTCGATCCACAACGCTATGTAGAGCACAACCCCGGCATGGCACATCGCAGTTCAGCACGGCCCAGCACAGCACAGCCGTCGGCACAGTACATGAAGATCGATACATTCAGCATTGCATTTGCCCGTCGCCCAATCAGGTGTCTTTGAAACGTTGCCATGCCCTACATTTCTACATTCCTTTCCGGGCTCGTGGGTCAAGCATGTTGGTTCCTTTGTTCTAAGAACATGTCGTGGCAGGCTTACAGGAACCCGGAACGGTCCGTCCCTGCTCAACAAGAGGCCTTCCCGAGGAGGAGGAGGAAGGGGAGGAGGACGAGGAGGAAAGGAGGAGGAGGAGGAGGAGGAAGAGGAGGAAAGGGGGAGGAGGAGGAGGAGGAGGAGGAGGAGGAGGGGGAGGGGGAGGAGGAGGAGGAGGAGGAGGAGGAGGATTCCCCCAAGAAGGGGCGGGCCCCTTCTGAGAAGCCTCCTGCCTTCTCGGAAGGCCCCCCCCCTCCTCTCGCCACGGCCTCTCTCGCGCGCGCCGCCCCCGAAGAGGCGCGGGAGAAGCTGCTGCCGCTCCTGAAGTTCGAGGTTATGAACCTGCTTGCCGCGGCCAGAGAGGGGCGGTGCGACTGAGCGGTTGGGTAGGGTTGAGCAGCTGTGAGAAGATCGCCGTCGCACCCACCAGTTGCTCCTCCCCTCGACCTCCCCCTCTTCGCCGCCCCCAGCAGGGACCAGGCTGGACCAGAAGTGCATGAACGGTGCTTCAGCACACCCTCCCGTTCCTAGGCCCCTCCGCTCGCGCCCCTGCTACAAATGTTCTCCTTGACTTGGTTTACAGTCCCCCCCGGTTTCGATGGCTCTAGGGCGAAACGCTTGTGTTTCAGAATGTGTTGAGGATGTCTCGAGCGAAACGTTCGTTTTGCGTTATAGTTTGTCCTATTTTGGGGACCAGAATTCAGAGGATCTCTCAAGTGAAATGCTTGTTTTCACGTGCCCAGGTCTTGAGGATGTCTCGAGCGAGACGCTTGGTTTCACGCCTCCACGTTGCCCAGACAGAGGTCTAGCATGAGGATTTGTTGAGGATGTCTCGAACCTTCACGTGTCCAGGTCGCCCAGGCGGATGTCTAGCATGAGGATGTGTCGAGCAAGTCTCGATCGAGACGCTTGTTTGCACGTGTCCAGGTTGCCCAGGCGGATGTCTAGCATGAGGATGTGTTGAGAACGTCCTGAGCGAAACGCGTGTTTTCACGTGTCCAGGTCGCCCAGGCACAGCACAGCCCTCGGCACGGTACATCAATATCGATACCCATCGCATTGCAGCCTGGCATGTTGCTTGGCACGTTCCGCGGAGCGTCCCGTGGCGAGTCCCCCTGGCACGTCGCGCGGTGCACGTCCATTGGCACGTTCAGTAGCGCATCCCCTTCACGTCCCGCGGTGCGTGCCCATGGCACGTCCCCTGGCTCGTCGCTTGGCGCGTCCCTTGGGACGTTCCGCGGCGCGTCCTCCTGGCATGTCCCCCTGTCGATTAGTTTTGGGGCAGCTACCATCTGCTCAGGCAGCTCGAGCTTAAGATCCAGATCAGTTCGGTCAGGACTCGGATGCAAAGAGGACTCGATCCACAACGCTATGTAGAGCACAACCGCGGCATGGCACATCGCAGTTCAGCACGGCCCAGCACAGCACAGCCGTCGGCACGGTACATCAAGATCGACACACTCAACATTGCACCTTGGCACGTTCCTTGGTGCGTTCCGTGGCGAGTCCCCCTGGCATGTCGCGCGGCACGTCCCCTGGCACGTCCCGCGGCACGTCCATTGGCACGTTCCGTAGCGCGTCCCCTTGGCACGTTCCGCGGTGCGTCCCCATGGCACGTCCCCTGGCACGTCGCCTTGCGCGTCCCTTGGGGCGTTCCGCGGCGCGTCCTCCTGGCATGTCCCCTCTGTCGATTAGTTCTGGGGCAGCTACCATCTGCTCAGGCAGCTCGAGCTCAAGGTCCAGATCAGTTCGGTCAGGACTCGGATGCAAAGAGGACTCGATCCACAACGCTATGTAGAGCACAATCGCGGCATGGCATATCGCAGTTCAGCACGGCCCAGCACACCACAGCCCTCGGCACAGTACATCAAGATCTACACATTCAGCATTGCATTTGCCCGTCGCCCAATCAGGTGCCTCTGAAACGTTGCCATGCCTTACATTTCTATATTCCTTTCCGGGTTCGTGGGTCGATCATTTCACTACAAGAAGCGCCCCCCGCCCCTTGCAAGACCAGCTCAGCTGGGGCAGCCATGTTGGCGAGGACTTCGGTTCGAAAAGGAATTGCCTTACATCTTGCTGTTGCGTAAACATAAACGCGAAAGACAAGGATCACAGTTCAACGAGGTGCCAAGGGAGGTCCCACTTTTGAAAAAGTGGCGACCCCCATCTGTGTAACTGCTTCACAAAATTACACATGTGGTCACGATCTTCGAGAAAGTTTCAACCAACAGCCCCATTTCACCATGGATCTGTGCACCGTTGCGTGCGTTGAAGTTCCAGGTCTTGAGATTTAGTGGGTCCCAGCCGAAAGTTCCATGCTGTAAAAGGGTAGTCCTCCATCCTGCTGGACGCTGCGCTGAAAAAAAGAAAGCGCGCGGTGCTGAGGCGAGAGAGCCCCAAAATTGAAAAAGACCAGTGCTCTGTCCGTGAAGTTGCTACAATATTTTGAGATTAACCATCGCGACGATGTGGCGAAAGCTTCACTTTGAAAGGGAACCGCCCTTCATCCGTGACGCGAATGCAATATTGCAAGGACAATGTTCGCGGCGCTACGGCGATTGCACCTGTATGAAAACCACCACCCTTCCAGCCCTGAACCTCTTGCTCTTCTCAAAAGACGAGTGTTCGCGGCGCAAGGCGAGAAACACCTTCTGGATGCCCCCCCTTCACCCGTCAAGTTGTTGCAAATGTTTTCAGACGAGTACACGCGGCGCTAAAGCTGCGCGGCTCCATCAGTGAAACTACTGCGAACTTCAAAGGCGAATGTGCGCGGCGCTAAAGCGAGGTCTACATGCTGAAACGGAGCCGCCCTCAATTCGGGTACGTGTTGCAAGCTTTCAGGGCGAATGTGCGCAGCGTTTACCGCGAGAGCCACGTTTTGAAAACGGCCCCTCTCCATTTGCGAAGCTCTTGCATCTTTAAGACGAGCGCGCGCGGTGATGAGAGGAGAGCCGCTGTCTTGAAAGCCGGAGCCCTCTCCATCTGTGAAGC